CCCCTCCCTCGGCTTCTTTTCCGTGTGATAGCGTGTCTCTTGTTTCTCTCACCCTCACCATCAAACCTCCGGGGCCCTCTTCTCCATCCTGTTTTCCATTCCTCCTTCATTCTCTTTTCTCCCTCGTAATTATTCCTCGCCGCCCTCCTGCCTCCTCCTTCTCTTCACTATTGTCGCCCTCCTGGGGGCTTCGTGGGGCCGAAGGCTCAGATTTTCGGTTCGCGATCCCTCTGGGCCCCTTTGGGGGCTGCCCTGGGGCCCTCTTGGGCCGTCCCGGGCGCCCCTCGTGTCGTCTTGGGGCGCCCTCAGGCCGGCTTGGGGCCCTCTTGGAGGCCTCTTGGGCCGTCTCTGGACGGTCTTAGGGGGCCCCTTTGGGTCGTCCTGGAGCATCGGAAAGCAGAAAAGGCGAGAACGCCAACATTCCTCTAGAGCCCCTTGGGGTTCTTTTGGGAGGCCTCTTGGAGGCCTCTTAGGGGCGTCTTGGAGGCCTCTTGGGCCATCTCGAGGCCATCGTGGGCGTCTTGGGCGTCTGGAGCGGGTTGTCGGCGACGTCGGGCCCTCTTGGACCGTTTTGGGGGCCTCTTGGGGTTCTCTTGGCCCGCCTCGGGGCCCTCTTGGCCCCGAAAAAGTCACGCGGCAAGACACGACACGCCCCGAGAGATTTGGCAATGTGGGGTCAGAGCCGTGCGGCTCAGAGAATCGCGCAAAGGACCTGAAGACACGCCCCACTCCGTGCCCAAGGGCACGGTGGCGGCTTCCCACTGCGAAGATTAGACACGTGGCCCCCCTACTCAACCACTGAGCCCTGGCACGCCGAAGCATGCCAGAGACAGCAGTCTTGCACTCAAACAGTCAACCAGAGAATCCAGCAACATATGGCGACAAGCGCCAGCGCTGCAACTCATCAGAGCTTACTCTGCGACGCTGACGCGCCAGGCACGAAGAGCCGTGCAAAGCAGCACTACGCCCCAAGCGCCCAGGCCTCGCACGCTTAGGCCCTTGTGCGGGGGAGGACCGTGCGGCTTGCGCGGGGACACTGTGCGGGGCCGCGGCGCCGACTCGGTGTGCACGCCTGCCTGCGGGATTGTAGAGGGGTCTGCGCCGCGATCCCA